CAAGCTCTTGCTCTGAACTCCCTTCAGATACCCTTATAGCCATCAGTCACCATCTTCACCACCCCTGTAAACTGTCCATGACCTCTCTCTCCTATGAGCCTCTGTAACTGTATCTCTTCTGCAACACCTGACAGCTACCTTTTTAATAGCTGTATATTAACATGGCTTCTCCATTCTGCCAGGCTGTAGTGTCTTTTAGATCATTTTAGCATCTCCCTAAAACCTCACACAGTAGGCTTTCAATCTGTTTTACATCTCAGTGACTGAGCATGAAGCATCCACTTGTGACAGCTGTATCAGGGGATCCAGGATGCCTTTTTCAAAGAAATCTGCTTTTTTTCATAGAACAATTACTAAAATATTAACCACATTGATACGTGTATGCACATCAATTCCACTTTAGAAGTAGGAAATCTACGAAAACCTACTACGAAAAAGGGTTTTAAATAATTTCTTATGGTATGTTCATTGTAGAAAAACGAGAATATACAGGTTTGAACCTTGAAGATATAACCTTACAACCCAGAAAAAAATCACTGTATTTTAAATTATATCCTTCTGCTTTTTCTATATGTATATAAATAGAGATATACATAACTATATGTTTTGATATGGACATTTTAAATGGGATAATGGCATACACGCTGTTTTGTGGCATTTTCCCACTTAATGTACAGCACAAATCTTTTGTAGGCCATTCACTGTTACTTTACAACCTAAATTTTTTGACTGTATACTATTCCAAAATATGGGTTTACCATAATTTACTTAATTTCTTATTGTTCTTAAGTTTTCATTCTTTTATGTATTTATTTATTTATTGTTTTTTTAATTGCTTTTTCTCCCCAAATCCCCCCAGCACATAGATGTATATTTTAGTCTTGGGTTCTTCTAGTTGTGGCATGTGGAATGCCGCCTCAACATGGCCTGATGAGCGGTGCCATGTCCAAGCCCAGGATCTGAACCAGTGAAACTCTGGGCCGCTGAAGCAGAGCGCGCCAACTTAATCACTCCGCCACGGGGCCAGCCCTTCATTCTTTCAAATAATGCTGCAAAAAAAGAAAGATGAAAAAGGTTACTGAGGGGGCCACTCAGTGGCGTGGTGGTGAAGTTTGCACGCTCTGCTTCAGCGGCCTGGGGTTCACCAGTTTGAATCCTGGGTGTGGACCTACCCACTGCTATCAAGCCATGCTGTGGTGGCATCCCACATACAAAATAGAGGAAGATTGGTACAGATGTTAGCTTGGCGACAATCTTCCTCAAGCAAAAAGAGGAAGATTGGCAAGAGATGTTAGCTCAGGACCAATCTTCCTCACCAAAAAAAAAAAAAAAAAAAGGTTACTGAATGTTCTCCCATATTTCTCAAAAATAGTAGCGCTTTTGGACTAGTTGAACAAGGTTTCTGATCCTATAAAATGTTTCCATATTTATAGCTACAGCTTTGCCTATATCCATGATTACTTAAATTCATCCAGAGAAATTGCTGGTTCAAAGAATAAACATGCTTCTCTGGCTTCCAACAGATATTGCCGAACTCAGCAGTGCACAGTTCTCAGTATCTTCATGTGTACTGGGATTACCACTTTTTAAAATCTTTGCTTGCATAGCATTTTGAAGTCGGTATTCAGAAACTCCCCTAAAACTCCCTCCTTTTGTCCTTCTGGTTTCCAGCTGCCCAGTCTTCATCTAAACCTCTCTCCACTGCTCTTCCCAGACCCACTTTTGTTTGTGCTTTTCCCCTGCTCAAGTCTTATGATGGCTTTGCTCTAACACTGAAATTTGCCTAGCTAGTATTTTATCCCCTTAGACTCTTAGAGCCAAAGTATCAACCAACTAATCTGATAAACTAATCCAGGCTCATGTAAAGGGGCTCTCTCCCAGCAACATGTGTGCAATGTGACTCGAGCAGGGTAAGGAAAACATACTATCTCCATCTGGAATGCTTTTTATTTATCTCAAAGAACAGTGGTTCTCAAATTTTGCTGCACATTGAAATCACCTAGGGAGCTTTTAAACAACACCAATGCCTGGGACTCACCTTCTAGAGATTCTGAATAAAATTTTATATAGGGTGTGACTTGGGCATCAGGACTTATTAGAGCTCCCCAGGGGATTCTAATAGGGCATCTGTGTTTGAGATGACTAAGAGAAAGATCCCAAGTAGCTTCTTCTTAAGTAATAGTGGAAGGCCCCAAGGAAGAAAAGCACAATGAACATAATCCCAGTAATTTGACTTATCTGCAGAGGATAAAGGAGACAAGAAGGGGCAGTGAGGGGTGACGCATTTGCTAATGACAACAGAAGAAATGTAGCATTCATAGTTCTTGATGCTAGGCAGGTGCCTGCTGTGTTAGGAAGGAGGCCAAGCTTCAGGTCTGAAGCAGCTTCATTTGCTTTCGTAATTGAGCCAATCAACTTTCACTAAAATTAACCGGCATGCAATTAATTTCATGGGAGCTCTCCAGCTTTCAGTGAGATAAAATGCTTCCAGTTTACATTAGTTTTATTGTTTCAGCAAAGTTGGGGAATCCCACAGATTTTCCCCACAATCCATAGGGGACCTTTGGGACAACTTTTAGAAGAACACTACAAGTTCCAGACATTTAAATACATTATTAACCTCACAGCAACCTTACAAGGCAGCTATTTGCCCTATTTTCCATGGAAAACTGAGGATCAGAAAAGATTAGTAAATTGCCTGGCCTCACAGGCAGTAAGCGACCTGGCTGGGATGGGATGGGATGGGATTCAGGGAGGCACGACTCTAACAGTCACGCTCTTATTAACATACAACGCCTCAAGCCATGTTGCCTTTTCCCCAGGACAATTTGAAGCGACACTGGTAAATTGCCTTAAAGGGCAGAAGATGCTTCCACGTGGTCTGAATGATATTTCTGATGTTCCACAATTCAGAAGACAACTGATGAGAGCCACTTCTGTGCAAACCCACTCCCAGGCCACAGTGTCAGGTGACCGTGTTTTGTTACCCCATCCAACTCTGTGACTCGGCCTTACACACACTATTGTTCCCAACAACAGCCGAGGGCACATTCTGGAAAGGACCACGGGGACCAAAGTCCTCGCCTCCGGCGGCTGGCAGTCCAGCTGAGGATGAAAAGCTTTTCTCCAAACCTGGCTTTTCCCAAATTACTTATGGTGGAGAAGACCTCCTTGGTGACCTGAAAACTAAGAAGAATTTCTGTGGCCAATATAGCAGTTTGATTCTTTTTTGCCCTGTTCTTCTTATTCTTATTAGCCATTATTTACTGTAGAAGGCCACTTAGCCCACCCAGGTAAAGACAATGGTACCCCAGAATCTTTGAAGGATGTTACTCTCAAATTACATAATTTCTGGAGGAAGAGGGACTGCAGCCTTCCTACATGAAGCCTGCCTTTCTTGGAACCCATGCAAGAGAAGGGGCTGGTCATTCTTCCACCATGTCAACATCAGAGTAGGCAGGAGGGAGGTAAGTGGATCGATGGCTTCGTAGACCCTTCCTAAGGGACAACAGGCCACCTGGGTGGAGAACGTGACTGGATTCAAGACAAACAAATGCCTACTAGGAATGTGCTGCAAGCCCCTAGCCAAGGGGCTTTTTGATAGGACAGAGCCCCCAGAGACTATGTCATCCTACAGACACAATTAGAATGGACAGGAAAAGGAGCATCCATCCTCTAGGAAAATCAGGATTTTTTTTTGTCTCTCTTTCTCTAGACATTCCTGAAAAAAAAAAAAGGGGGTTTACAACGTTTAAAGCCCGTGGGTGGGGGACGGGAGGGGCTGGTTTTGCAGGAGGGTTCGGAGTTCAGATCCGGCAGGCTGCTCAGAAACACTGTTCAGTCTTAGGCTCAGCTTTGGCTGCAGATGGTAGTTTAGATTTTAGATTCTCTGAATGCCCTTTACAGGAGAACAAACCCCAGGCAGGGAAACAAAATACACACCCATGATACAGTAGAGAGAAATGTTACCCTGGCAGGGTAAGCCAGGGTACCCTGGCTCGGGCAGACGTTATCTCCTTCAAGGACAAAAAGTAAACGTTGCAGGCAAGCAGAAACCACAGGCACCAGGCAAACAGCCGCTGCCGTCCCGCCGCCTCTCCCGCAGCCAGCCCCAGCCTCCAGGCCTCCTTTCTCGGGCTGAGCTGACAAACGCCACGCATGAAATGCGAGAGCCGCGCGGCTCCTCCAGTGCTTAGAGCCCTGACTGCTGCCCCCGGGATGCAGGGCTCCAGTCTGGGGACGTCGGGAGCTGGCCCGTGCCCGCTTCTGCTCTTAAGGTGGCTGCGTTGCCCAGAATGAGAGCCTGATTTTCCCAGAGCCTTCCTAAAACATTTAACTCCCTCTCCGCCGGCCCCTGTAGGAGAACGAAAATGGGGGAGGGATGGTTTATAAAATGATGCAGTATTGATTTTTGACGTTGCAAACCAAGAAAGGGGGGGGGATATTTAGGACAGACGAAGGGTTAAACGGTTGCCAAATTCTATTAGAGAACTTCACCTTCTCCGTCACCAATGCAGGCAAGGAGAGATAGATCTGGCCCGCGGCTAGCAAGAAGGAGGCGAATACGACACGCTGAAAATGCCAGACCGAACTACCTTAAAAAGCGATAGCCTCATTGCATTAGAAAAACATGCATTCTCGTGGGACGTGGTCCGGAAATTTTGTTTCCCCCTTCAAATACTGCTTGAGAAGAGAAACAGAATCAGCGCTGGGCTGCGTCTCACCACTTGCTGTGCGGTCCGAAAAGTCGCGTCCAGCAACATCAGCTTCCAGGGATCGGACACTGAGCTGGGCAGGGGAATGTAGATGTAATAGGCGGCCAGCGCCACCAGGGCGGTGAGCAGGACACAGGACGACTTCATCCTCCCCGGGGTCGGCTCGCCCGCGGGTTGAGGGCGAAAGGACGATGCCACCCAAAGACCTCCGGCAAGTTTCTGCCAGGGCCGGCGGCTCATTCACCGGTGTCTTATATGCCCAGGAGCCAATCAGAGGCGGCGTCGGGAGGAAGTAGGGGCGCTGACGTGCCCCCTCGTCGGTGTTCCTGCGAAGTGCTGCAGACGCTTCAGGTTAGAGAAGGCCCTGAGACTGCGCTGCGCACCGCACAGCGGACTCTGCAGGACACAGGTGTGTATTGCACGCCTGTGACCGAGGGCTCCCTCCTGAAGAAGATCCTCAAATGGAAACCTGGAACCGTTTCAGTGTGATGAGTCTCTCTGTCCAAAGCAGGAGGCCATTCTGACGCAAAATGGAGATGCCGAGAAAAATAATAAAAATCCACTGTCTTCTGGAACCAGACTTGCTATGGAATGTAAATTCTAGCTAATATGTGGTGAAAGGAGGTGACTACAAATTCTTATAGCTCGAGCAATGATAAGCCAGTAGTACATCTAGCACCCAAGCCGTGGTTTCCACATCCCATTCTCCAGTAAAAGGAACCACAGCTCTTTGGGAAAAAGCCTGATTCCAGGGCTGGGGCAGGTAAAATACAGGATGAGCCTGTTGTGCTAGAAGATAGGGAAGTGATCAATAATGATGGGGACTGGTCAAGAGGACACAGGTGGCGGCTTGAAGGATCTCCTAATGGCTAAAGATTGGATGATTTTAGTATCAAAGTAAATAATAATGATGGATTATAAACCATTGAATAAAATAAAAATCCAGGAGCCTATACTAATATAAATCAATAAATAAATGGGAAAACACCACCTGAAAAAAATTCTTTCAGTGGGTCAATGGTAGCAGAAAGAGCATTGAATCCAGATTTCTTGTTAAAGGTTGGAGCAGCAGTGAGTACAGAATGGGAGAGAGAACTTCACCAGCAGAACCACAACCTGAAATCCAGAAAGAAAACATTTGGAAGAACTGTCTCAAGGAGATGGTAAGAGAACGACTCCAAACTTATTGATTGAGGCCTTAAGACACCTGGTACATATAATTTTGCACCTTAATATAGTAATTTCAATTTAATCTGACCCAAAGAAGTCAGATAATCATAAATTTCGGACTGATAATGAGATTATTAGGAGAAAATTTGTTTCGTTTTCAAAGTTGGAGGGAAGCATTTATATGAAAGGCACACTTTAATGGTGTTTCAAGCTTGCAAGTTTGAGGTTATTGTTTTACGTTTTGATTTTTTGTAGTTACTAATTAAGCATATAACTAAACAGATAGAGATGTATATGTTTGTGGGTCAACGTATGTGCGTAAAGTTAAAGACTAATCTTTTAGGTGATTAGCAATAATCCCAGAGATATAAACGGAGCTGGCTACTGGATTGCTTAACATAACTTGCTCTCAGGTAAACTGTAAAATAACTTAAAGTTTTACCTTGTGGACTTTAATATTTTCTTCCTGGACTTTGATTATATTTGTAAAATCATAGATCTTAGAGCTGATGACAAAACAAAGAAACAACAACAAAAACCCCCACAGCTGACTCGTCAGTCTGTCTTCAGCCACTAGTAACAAGCCCAGTTCTATAGATGAGCCTCTCGAGGCCCAGAGCAGCTTGTTTATAGTCCTCTAGTTCGTAAGTGATGGAACCAGTCTTTACTTCTCCTACCTCCCTCAAGCAGTGCACTGAGAGATAGAAACTAAGGATCAAAGAAACCACAATACTTCCTAGTGCTTCTTCTACAGATCTGAGAGTTTTTGAAAATGAGACCAATTTGAGATAAAAGCCTTCAGCACTTGTTTCCAAAACTTAATTCATTCAACAAATATACCTGGCCCCCACTAGGAAATAACGGAGTCGGGGCAAGGCAGTAAGGTCTCCACTCTTTTTGATGTACATGCTTGGTGGTGATGGTGGTGGTGGGGTGAGTGTAAGGAAGGTACAGAAGGGAGAGCCAAACAATAAATAAATGATAATAGCTAACATGCATGGAGTGCTTACTATAAGCCAGGCTCTGTGTTGAGCAGTTTAAATGTATTAACACACAACAATTCTATGAAGTAGGTACTGTCATTATTCGGAAAGCAGAGGCATTGAAAGGTGAAGTGCTTTGCACCAGGTCACCCAGCTGGTGAAAGGTGTGGCTGGGATTTGAGCCCACAGAGTCAGCTCTCGTGCTCACGTGCTTTACCACTCAACTCCGCTGCTAAGTGATTAGGGCTATGAAGAAAATAGAACAGGGTCGTGTGACACTGTGTGGCTGGTGGCTGCTTTCAACTGGGTGATGAAGAGGACCTCTTTAAGGAGAAACCATGTGAACGGAGATCTGAACGACCAAGGAGACAGCCGTGCAGGAATCTAGAGGCCAAGGAACAAGTGCAGAGGCAATAAGGGGCTAATGAGGTTGAGGAACAGAAAGAGTGCTAGTGAGGCAGGAATAGTGGGCTAGAGGTGGTGGTCCCGGCACAGTCAGGGAGGCAGCACAAGCGCAGGAAGGCAGATGGTTTAGGACTGTGTAGGCTATGATAAGGAGTTTGAATGAGGCTTTGCAGCCGGGTAGTAACAGGATCTGATCTGTATTTGAAAAGAAGCACTCTAGCTGTGTGCAGAGCGCAGGCCAGTCAGGGGGCTTTTACAGGAGCCCAGATGAGATACAGTGATGGCCAGGAGTGGCAGTGTAGCAGTGCGATGGAGACAAGAGGCAGATTTAGGATATATTTTAGAGATGGGGGATGGTACATACTCAGAGATTGTAATGGGTGAAAAAAGAGAACGATCAATAAAATGCTCTGCTTCTAAGGAAATAAAGTGTAATTTGAGTCAAGCAATTGACATTTCCACTTATATAGAACTATCTGAAATTAGTTTTTATTAAAACCTCCTAATTATGTGACATAGCAATATCATTGCTTAACAAAATGTTTATTTTTATTACTGGAAATAATTTATCCAAAGTGCCATCTACTATGCCATGTGAAGTGGGCTTTTTCATCCAAGGACAAGGAGGACTTTAGTTCAACAAATACTTACTGAGTCCTGCTCTCTGCAAGCCACTATGGTAAGTGCTGTCATGATGAAAATAGTCCCTTTCCCGCAAAAAGTGTCCACTCTGGTCAGAGAGAAAGTCAGATAAACAAATTTTTCCAAATATGTACAAAGTTCGGAGACGTGGTGCAAAGGAAGTCATGATTAGTTCTGTTCTGGAAGAGTGAGGAGTAAGAAGATCCACAAGAAAGGTGATGACTGAGCAGATTCTGCAGGTTGAAGAGGAGTGTGCAGGTGGACATTGCAGATGGGGTAAGGCTATCCCACGCAGAGAGAAGAACATATACAAAAGTCCTGAAGTGGGGGGTGAGCACAGAACCACAGGTAGTTTGATATTTCTGGAGCATCAAATGCAAGGAGGTGGAGAGTTTAACCTGAAGAGTTAGACAGAGGTCACATGATTCAGGGCCTTGGATGTTATGCCAAGGAGTTTGAACATTATCCTGTGGGCAATGGAGAGGCATTAATGGGTTTGCCATTAGATCTCGTGGCAAGGTGGATGGTATATTGGTAGGGGGAGAGCAGCGAAGTTGTTTGGGAGGGTGTTGCTTCTAAGGTGTCCAAGAAAGAGATGATATTCACTTAGACTTGTATCAAGTGATGGTAATAGAGTTGAAGAGTCAAAGATGTCTAAGAGTAGAATCAATCAGTAGAATCAAAAGCACTTGGAGAGGGAGGGAAAAGGAGGAGTCAAGATGAATTCCCAGATTTCTTGTTGAAGCAACTGGATAAAGAAGGGTGGAAAAGTAAAAGATTTGAGGGACAATGACAAATTGAGCCTGGAGTATTTAGGTTTGAGGTATTTATGGAAAATCCAAGTAGAGATCTTGAGTAGACTCACAGGCATACAAGTCAGGGCTCACAGGAGAGGTCCAAGCTGGGGATGTAAGTATGGGAATCTTACTGTAACTGAAGCTGTGACAGTGGGTGAGAGAGCAGCTGAGAATGAGAGGGTTTGGGGGAAGAAAAGCAGGCCTGAGGGCCTTGGCATTTACTGTTTAGGAGAAGGAGGGGGACACGTTGACAAAAGAGGTCTAGAAGAAGAGGCCAGAAGGTGGACTGTCTGATCTAGAGAAACTGAGTAGTGATGGATAGGAAAGTGAAAGAAAGCATTTAGAAGTTAAATTGGAATTTCCTAACTAGATTCTTGAAAGAGCAGGGAGAGGATGGAGACAATAATGACTTCAAAGTTTTTGGTTTGGGTAATGTCATCAACTAACATAAGAAATACTGGATGGAAAGCAGGTTGAGGGTAAGACGATGGGTTCGGTCCTGTGATTTACTCAGAATTATATTCAGCAACATTCTCAGCAACATGATATAAATGCAATGTTAAACATTTGATTAAGGTCAAAGTCGCTACATGATATGTTGAAGAAAACTGGTTTGTAAATCACTGTATTTATAACGTGTGCCTAATTTGCATAACACCCTCTACTGACTATGATTTGAAGTTCATCCTTGATGTTGCCAATTATGACAGCATTATACTCACTTAAGACAGAAAACCTTGGCTTGTCTTCAAAGAACAAAAGGAAGTTTTTCTTTTTCTTGCAACCATCCTAGTATATCATCATCCAAAAGATCCAGGAGTTTGATGGATCCAGCGTAGTCTAGCCTAAGGCAGCTCCAGGAACACGGCAGTGGTGCATCTGATTGAGAGCATCAGAGTGCCTCATCTTCCCATCATAAACCCACAACTCAGGGACCGCTCCTGTGCCTCATCTCCCACTTCCCTGAATCTTGCCCTCAGTAACTGTGTTAGTTTCCTGCTGCTATTGTAACAAAGTACCACAAACTGAGGAGCATAAAACAACAGAAATTATTCTCACAGTTCTAGAGACTAGAAGTCTGAAATCAAAGTGTCAGCAGGGCCATGCTCTCTCTGAAGGCTCTAGGAGAAAATCCTTCCTTGCCTCCTGCTAGCTTCTGTGGTTGCTGGCAATGCTTGGTCTTCTTTGGATTGTAGATGCATCCAATCTCTGCCTCTGTCTTCACATGGCTGTCTCCCCTGTGTATCCGTCTTCATCTCCCTTATCTTCTTCTTAGGACATGGGTCACATTGGATTAAGGGCCCATCCTATCTCATGGGCCTCATCTTAATTATGACCTCATCTTAATTAATTACATCTGCAATGACCCTGTTTCTAATGACCCTATTTCTAAATAAGGTCGTATTCTGGGGTACTGGGAAGGAAGTGGATTTGGGAAGGGTGTGTGGCACTGTTCAATCCAGTACAGCACCCAAGAGTTAAATGCGTAATGGAAGCACTTTAGCAGGGCATCCTGCCCCTTCGCCATGGTAGTCCCCAGGTCTCCGGAGATAGTTTGGGCAACTCTTGTACAGGTGACATTCCCTTTGCTCATCTTCTAAAGCTCAGGCTTTTGTTTTTGGAACGACACCTAATCTAATAACTAATTCTGACTAATGGGAAAAGGGGTGGGGTGAGGGTAGGGGATGTATGTGAGTTTTCCTGCACCTTGTAATTGACTAATAGCCTCTTGGAAGTAATACTTTCTTTGTTTTCTAACTCAAAAGACTGGCTGTACTGTTTGGGTTTCAGGCTGATAGGAAAAGAGTATATGTGAGGAGGATCATGGCCTGTGTTGGTGGCTATCTGCCTTGCAGAAATGTAAGCCTGATACTGCCCAAAGAATCTATCTCTCACACACACACACACACACACACACACACACACACACCCCTATCTTCTAAAATAAGGTAGAAATAAACAAATCAGAAGGTTTAAGGTCAGTAGAAAACATGTGAAACCATTTTTTTTTTAACCATCATCTGGTCAACTTTAGCTCAGGTTTCCCAAAGGAGAAAGGTGCTCTACAGTAAGACACAAGTCAGGGTCTTTGACCAAAGATATTTATTGCTTAAAGTCAGGCACATTCTAGCTTTTAAAACATCCTGTGCTCTCCAAGGAACTGATTGTTATTTTGGTGTGCTTGATGGATCTACCCACCAGAAAAGGTGTGGCCTGTGAAGACAACTGGGCATAGTTGTTGGTCTCGGGGTGTGTCTGATGGAAAGTGGTGAATTGGCATTCAGGATTCCAGCCAGTCACCTGTGAATGTGAATATTATCTTCAAATAAATTCCAAGCTCCTTTCCAAGCCTAGCAACCTTGGCTGCTCAGCCTCTGCCTACCTCCGTAACTCACCTACTGTCTCCACAACCTGTCCTGGATGCTGCACCCACACTGGGCTTCATTTCAGTAGTCAGATATACTTAGGCTCTTCTGCCCCAGTCTTTACACAGGTCACTCTGTGCTGTTTCCTCTACCTGGCACTCGCTGCCCCCTACTTTTCATTCTAGTTGGCCCATTTTTATTATTTAGGTATCTGCTGAAATGTCACTTTCTCAGAGTGACAATATTTTATAAAGTTCAACATTTAGTATGTCTGGGCCTTGAAGCTTATCATGGAAGCACCTTCTGTAACTGCTAACTGACCAATGAGCAGTAGGAGTCAGTTTTCTCACAAAGCCAATTCAAATGACTTGCCTCTGGGTAAAGATGGAGATGAGTTAGATGGAAAGAGTTATGTTATTGGGTAGCTGTACCCTGAAAGAATCTGTTTTAAAGTAATTTTCAATATTTCTGAAAGTACTAAAATGATTTTCTTATTTCAGAATCTTGGTTCAGAAAGATTATTAAACATTTACCTGCTTAGTAGGGTTCTGGTTAAGTATCTTTTCTCCATTTTTCCATTTTTTCAGATTTTCAGACTGATGCAAACAACTATGGCTAACATATTTAAGACTTATATTCCTATAATCCCCGAGAAAATGATTTTATAGTTTTTGATATAAAGTGGCTCCTTCCATTTTATGTGTGCATTCAAGAACCAGATATCTTTTCACGGTCTATTATAAAACTGTATCGAGGAATTGATTAATATTCAAGGTTATATAATATCACAATATGTTACAATTACCTTATTATTGCAGACATTTACCAGTGGCCTACTAAATACTGAACACCGTATCATGCTTGGGAATGGGACAGAATCCTGGCATGGAAGGAGTTCTCAGTCTAGGAGAAAGAAAATAGTCAACAGGAAAATAAATAGAAGAAAACTTGCTAAGTACTATAGTGGACGTGTAGAAAGAATAGTCTTCAAAGGTGAGTAAAAGCACATCAGACAGACAAGGGGAGAAGGGCCTATGCCAGCCCACTGCTCAATCGAAGGTCTGGGTGCTCAAGACTCTTACTTTCAGGAGCAACTTCTATTGATTTTATGAATGATGTAAAATAATAAAATTTATCAGCAGAAGTTTCAGGTCTGTTCTTAACTGAGCTACTGGTGGAACCAGAGTTAGTGATTTACAATCAGAATTTATTTTACCGATTTAGTTGGATTTATGTAAATCAATGCTAGGATAATTAGTCCACGCTGCTCAGGAATAAATGATTTACATTGATAAAATGTGCTTTGCAAAAATTAATCATTAAAAATGTCCACTGGCCTGGGGCTGGCCCCGTGGCCGAGTGGTTAAGTTGGCGCGCTCTGCTGCAGGTGGCCCAGTGTTTCGTTGGTTCGAATCCTGGGTGTGGACATGGCACTGCTCATCAAACCACGCCGAGGCGGTGTCCCACATACCACAACTGGAAGGACCCACAACGAAGAACATACATCTACGTACCGGGGGGCCTTGGGGAGAAAAAGGAAAAAATAAAATCTTTAAAAAAAAAAGTATCCACTGGCCTAAGTTCTTAGGCCAAGTAGTCAGGATGACATTTAAATTTTAGCAACTAGGTGTATTAAAAATAAATCAAGTGAGTTATTTATTCAGTCAAATTCCTCTACTGCATCTTGGTTTTTAAATACTTATCTTGAAAAAAACAATTATTGGTTAGTTCTATTGGATATTTACTTTTGTTAGGTTGCTAGTGTATTCCCAGAAAGTTACTCTTTTTAAAAATTTGAGCCCCAAATTAAAGTTATTACCTCCTCCAATGCCTGCCCTTAGCCCTGTATCCAGGTCACAACTCACTTCTAGGCACATAGCCGTAGTTCAATCGATATGTATAGCTGATAAAGTCTAATATTTAGATCTGAAAGGCTGACAATGTGAAAAGAGATCATTCCCTCTCCTCCACAGCTAAATATAATCAGGTAAAGAATTGTACATAACAGAATATCTAAAAAAAACAAGTTTACTAAATTCAAATCTGCTTTTCATGTATGTAAAATTTTGAAAAGCAATCCAAAACTTTGATTAGCCCCTCTTAAATGTTTATCCCTGTGTTTGATTTTTTTCCATCTTATTGAGGTATAATTGACATATTACATTGTATAGGTTTAAGGTGTACAATGTATCGATTTGACACACTTAAATATTGCAAAATGATTACCCTCACAGCATTAGCTAACACCTCCATCACGTCACATAATTACCTTTTCTTTTTTGTGCTGAGAACATTTAAGATCTACTCTCTTAGCAACTTTCAAGTAGATAATACAGTATTATTAACTGCAGTCACCACACTGTACATAAGATCCCCAGAACTTATTCATCTTATAACTGGAAGTTTGTACCCTTTGGCCAACATCTTCCCAATTCCACTAACCCCAGCCCCTGGCGACCACCATTTTACTCTCTATCTCTATGAGTTTGGTTTTTTTTAGATTCCACGTATGAGTGATGTAATACAATATTTGTCTTTCTCTGTCTAACTTAAAACTGGAAGTTCGTATCCTCTCCCTATTTCCCTTACCCTGCAGCCCCAGGCAACCACTTTTCTACTCTCTGTTTCTGTTTGCCTTTTTTTTTTTTTTTTCAGGTTCTACATATAAGTGATATCATGCAGTATTTGTCTTACTCTGTCTGGCTTATTTCACGTGGCATAATGTGTCCTCAAGGTCCATCCATGTTGTCGCAAATGGCAGGATTTCCTTCTTTCTTGTGGTTGAATAATGCCTCATTGTGTGTGTGTGTATACATACCATATCTTCTTTATTCACACATCTGTTGATGGACACTTAGATTGTTTCCATATCTTGACTATTATGAATACTGCTGCAATGAACTTGGGAATGTAGTTATCTCTTTGATAGTCTGCTTGCATTTCCTTTAGATATATACCCAGGAGTGGGATTACTAGATCATATACTAGTTCTATTTTTAATTTTTTGAGGAACCTCCATACTGTTTTCCATAGTGGCTGCACCAATTTACATTCCCACCAACAGTGCACAAGGGTTTCCTTTTCTCTGCATCCTCCCAACACTTGTTATCTCTTGTCTTTGATGATAGCCATTCTAACAGGTGGGAGGTGATTTCTCATTGTGGTTTTGATTTGCATTTCCCTGATGGTTAGTGATGTTGAAGACCTTGTCACATATTTGTTGGCCCATTGTATGTCTTCTTTGGAAAAATGTCTATTCAGTTCCTCTGCCCATTTTTTAATAGTATTTTTTGTTTTGCTTTGTTTTGTTTTGTTTTTGCTCTTGAGTTGTATGAGTTCTTTATATATTTTGGATATTAACCCCTTATCAGATATATCATTTGCAAATATTTTCTCCCATTCGGTAGGTTGCCTTTTCATTTTGTTGATTATTTCATTTGCTGTGCAGAAGCTTTTTGGTTTGATGTAGTCCTGCTTATTAATTTTTACTGTTGTTGCTTGTGCTTTTGGAGTCATATCCAGAAATCATTGCCAAGACCAATGTCAAGCAGATTTTTCTCTATGTTTTCTTCTAGGAGGTTTATGGTTTCAGGTCTTATTTTTAAGTCTTAAATCCATGTTAAGTTAATTTTTGTGAGCGATGTAAGATAAGGCTCCAATTTCATTATTCTGCATGTTGATACCCAGTTTTCCCAACACCATTTATTGAAGAGACTGTCCTTTCCTCATTGAGTATTCTTGGCTCCTTTGTTAAATATTAGTAGATCTTATATGTGAGGGTTTATTTCCAGCTCTTTGTAGCATCCTTATCTGGCTTTAATATCAGGGTAATGCTGACCTTGTAAAGTGAGTTTAGGAGTGTTCCCTCCTCTTTGATTTTTGGAAGACTTTGAGAAGGATTTGCATTAATTCTTTAAACGTTTGGTAGAATTCTCCAGGGAAATCATCTGGTTCTGGGCCTTTCTTTGTTGAGAGGTTTTTGATTACTGTTCCAATCCCATTGCATGTTATTGTCTGTTCAGATTTTCTATTCTTTATGAATCAGTACTGGTAGTTTGTATATGTCTAGGAATTTATCCATTTCTTCTAGGTTATCCAATTTGTTGGTATATAATTGTTCGTAAGTAGTCTCTTATCATCCTTTGTATTTCTGTGGTATCTGTTGTAATATCTCCTCTTTTATTTCTGATTTTATTTATTTGAATCCTCTTTTTTCTTAGTCTAGCTAGAGGTTTGTCAATTTTGTTTTGCTTTTAAAAAAAAAACATCTCTTAGTTTCTTTGATCTTTTCTATTGTCTTTTTGGTCTTTGTTTTATTTATTTCTGCTCTGAACTTTGTTATTCCCTTCCTTCTGCTAACTTTGGGCTTAGTTTGTTTTTTCCTAGTTCGTTGAGATATAGAGTTAAATTTTTTATTTGAGATCTTTCTTTTTCTTAACATAGGTGTTTATCACTATAAATTTCTCTCTTAGAACTGCTTTTGCACCATCTCACAGGTTCTGGTATGTTGTGTTTTCATTTTCATTTGCTTCAGGATATTTTTTTATTTCCCTTTTGATTTCTTCCATGGCTCATTGGTGGTTCAGCAGTATGTTGTTCAATTTTCACATATTTGTGAATTTTCTAGCTTTCCTCCTGTCATCTATTTCTAGTTTCATACCATTGTGGTTGGAAAAGATACTTGATATGATTTCAATCTTCTTACATTTGCTAAGACTTGTTTTGTGACCTATCACATGATTTATCCTGGAGAATGTTCCATATACACTTGAGAAGGATGTGTATTCTGCTTCTATTGGATGAAATGTTCTGTATATGTCTGTTAGGTCCATTATTCTAAGGCATGCTTCAAGTCATATGATTCCTTGTTGATTTTCTGTCTAGATGATCTATCCGTTTTTGAAAGTGGAGTATTGATGACCTCTACTTTTATTGTGTTGTCTATTTTTCCCTTCAGATCTGTTACTATTTGCTTAATATATTTAGGTGCTCCAATGTTGGATCCATATATATTTTTGACTGTTATATCTTCCTGATAAATTGACTCCTTTATCATTAGATAATGACCTTCTTTGTCTCTTGCTACCATTTTTGGCTTAAAGTGTATTTTGTCTTATGTAAGTATAGCTACCCCTGCTCTCTTTTGATTTCCACTTGCGTGGAATATCTTTTTCCATCCCTTCACTTTAAGACTATGTGTGTCCTTAAAACTAAAGTTACTCTTGTAGGCCGTATTTAGTTGGATCTTGTTTTTTTAATTCATCCAGTCACTCAGTGTCTTTTGATTGAATAATTCAATCCATTTACATTTAGAGTAATTATTAATAGGGAAGGATTTACTAATGTCATATTATTAATTGTTTTCAGGCCGTTTTGTAGTTGCCTTGATCTGTTCTTCCTCTCTTGCTGCCTTCCTTTGTGAATTAATGGTTTTCTGTATTGGTATGCTTTGATTCTCTTCTCTTTCTCATTTGTGAATCTACTGTAGGTTTTTGCTTCATGGTTACCATGAGGCTTACATAAAACATCTTATAGATATACAGTCTATTTTACGCTGGTAACAACTTAACTTTGATTGCATACAAAATCTCTACCCTTTTATTCCCACCGTTTTACATTTTTTAAAAAATTTTTCCTTTTTCTACCCAAAGCCCCCCAGTACATAGTTGTGCATTTTTAGTTGTGGGTCCTTCTAGTTGCGGCATGTGGGATGCCGCCTCAGCGTGGCTTGATGAGCGGTGCCATGTCCGTGCCGAAGATTCGAACAAGCGAAACCCTGTACCACTGAAGCAGAGCACGCGAACTTAACCACTAGGCCACAGGGCTGGCCCCCCTTTTACATTTTTGATGTCACAATTTACCTCTTTTTATATTGTGTATTCATTAACGAATTATTATAGCTACAGTTATTTTTAATATTCTTGTCCTTTAACCTTTATCCTAAAGTTAAGTGGTTAATATTCCACCATATTACAGTATTATAACATTCTGAATTTGACTATATACTTACCTTTACCAATGTATTGTATATTTTCATGTTACTAATTAGCATCCTTTCATTTCAGCATGAAGAACTCCTTTTGGCATTTCTTGTAAGGCAGGTCTAGTAGTGATAAATTCCCTCAGCTTTTGTTTGTCTGGGAAAGTATTTATCTAACTTCATTTCTGAAGGACAGCTTTTCCAGGTAGTGTACTCTTGATTAGTGGGTTTTTATTCTTTCAGCACTTTGAATATATCACCTTCCTCTCTCCTGGCCTGTAAGGGGTCTGCTGAGAAATCCACCGATAACCTTTTGAAGGTTCCTTTGTATCTTATAAGCTTTTTTGTTTTTTATCTTGCTACTTTAAAGATTTTCTCCTTGTCTTTGATTTTTGACAGTTTTATTCTAATGTATCCTGGAGAGGATCTCTTTAAGTTGATTTTGTTTACTGACCTATGAGCTTCATGAGCCTGGATATCCAAATCTCTCCCCAGATTTGGGAAGTTCTCAGCCATTATTTTTTTTTAAATTTTTATTTATTTATTTTTAATTTTTTTAATTTTTAATTTTTATTCTTTTGAGGAAGATTAGCCCTGAGTTAACTACTGCCAATCCTCCTCTTTTTGCCGAGGAAGACTGGCCCTGAGCTAACATCCGTGCCCATCTTCCTCTACTTTATATGTGGGATGTCTACCACAGCATGGCTTTTGCCAAGCAGTGCCATGTCTGCACCCGGGATCCGAACCGGCGAACCCCAGGCCGCCGAGAAGCAGAGCGTGCGAACTTAACTGCTGCGCCACTGGGCTGGCCCTCCATTATTTCTTTAAATAAGCTTTCTGCCCCCTTCTCCTTCTCTTTTCCTTCTGAAACAGTAATGATTACAAATTGGTCTTTTTGATGGTATACCATAACTCATGTAGGCTTTCTTTACTCTTTTTCATTTTTTTCCTTTGTTCTCCTCTGACTGGATAATTTCAAAGTTCCTGTCGTCGATCTCACTGATTCTTTCTTCTGCTGGATCCAGTCTGCTCTTGATGTTCTCTATTGCACTTATTTCGTTTATTGTATTGTTCAGCTCCAGAATTTTGCTTTGCTTCCTCTTATGATTTCTATCTCTTTGTTAAACATTTCATTTTATCCGTGTATTGTTTTCTTGATTTTGTTGAATTGTCTTTCTGTGTTTTCATGTAGTTCATTGAGTTTCCTTAAAACCGTTATTTAGAGTTCTTTATCTGAGATCTCCACGTCTTTGTGTTTGGTTACTGGAAGACTATTGTGATTTTTTGGCGGTATTGTGTTTCATTGATTTTTCAATGTTTCCTGGAGTTTTGCACTGCATTTTGCAAATGTGAGTGTGTTCACATTTGAAGTAGTAGTCACTTCCTCCGGTCATTACTGACTGCCCACTCTGATGCATCCAAAATCATATTTTTTTGCTCTAACAGAGTACTGGGACTTCTCCTCTGGAGATCTAGACTTCAACAAAGGTTCTTTGAATGATTGTCTAACTCAGTGTTCTCTCGGGACTCCTGGACCTTGACCAAGAGAGACTGGAGATAGTTCATGGGCCACTGCAGGATCCACAGCTAGAAATGAAGTCTGTCTGCCTATTACCCCATGCAGGGGTGGGCTAGACTCCTCCTAGGTCCCTCGACACCTGGTGCTGGACCTGTAGCTCCCTCAAAGGCACTTTTGTCTGGATGGATACCAGAATTTTGTTATTGGGAGAGGAGAGACAAAAACAAGGGCTGTCTTATGCCACCATCATGCTGATGACTTCCTCCACTCTTTTATTTTTTAACTCCTTAATGTTACCAGGAATTAAAAGGTAAGACAAAAATCTTTAAAGTGTGTAGGATTTCATTATTTGCATGTGAATGTGTGTCATTAAATGGAATCTTTTACAATTAATTCAGCAAGTTGTAATTTTAAGGCTCCTGGGAAATGAGTCAACTATTACAGCATTATATCATGTGAGCACTGTTTTAGGATTTTTGCTCCTAGAGTTTGTAACTCAGGTATGATAATTTGCTACACATAGTAAAAAATAATATGGAAGACTTTTGATACATTTGTTTGAACATTTAAACTTTCTATTATTTTACAGTTTTTATCAATATAAAAATGCACTGATAAAAATTAGTGGATTAGTACATTTTAACAACGTTTATATCAATGTAGCAGAAAATACACCTAGTAAAGAAACACATAGGAAAATATTTAACTTTGCCAAGAGTCAAGGAATGTGAAATAATTTTCAGGGCCCTGTTTTACTCCAAAAAATTATAAAGAGGGAATAGATCATACAGATGTTAAGGAAGGTAGGTAAACAGACAGTACCCTGTTTCCTTTTATAAATGATGCTATAATATGAATCTTTATGTAGAAAACAAATTCTTTAATAAATATTAGTCATTTAAAATTTTTTTTTTAAAGACAGTTTTGAATCCTTTTTTTTTTTTTTAAAGATTTTATTTTTTCCTTTTTCTCCCCAAAGCACCCCGGTACATAGTTGTGTATTCTTCGTTGTGGGTTCTTCTAGTTGTGGCATGTGGGACGCTGCCTCAGCGTGGTCTGATGAGCAGTGCCATGTCTGCGCCCAGGATTCGAACTAACGAAACACTGGGCCACCTGCAGCGGAGTGCACGAACTTAACCACTCGGCCACGGGGCCAGCCCCGATTTAAAATTTTTTTAAAACATCTTTCTAACTATGTAAATGGTTTCTTATAAGAAAATATTTATTTTAAAATAAACATATAAATGAGTTTCTTCTACATATTAAAATAAGTAAATATTATATCTAAATGTAAATATAGCACATAGCCCTTAAAATAATTTTAAAAACAGGATACTACCACAAAAACTGATTGGGTTATAATAAGTGAATATACATTATGACACAAATTATGTTTAAAACAACACAAAAAAGTTTAAATACAACAAGTGGAGGTAAATATACCCAAACCTCAAATGCATTTGTGTTTGTGCAGTGGAACTATGAATAATTGTATTTTGTTTTTAGTACTTTGAATTTTTAAATTTCCTTCTTTCATTACTCTATAATAATGTTTTAAAAATACCTTAGAAGGGCCTGCCTGGTGATGTGGCAGTTAACTGTGCACATTCCGCTTCGGCAGCCCGGGGTTCGCTGGTTTGGATCCCGGGTGTGGACATGGCACCGCTTGGCAAGCCATGCTGTGGTAGGCGTCCCACATATAAAGCGGAGGAAGATGGGCACGGATGTTAGCTCAGGGCCAGTCTTCCTCAGCAAAAAGCGGAGGATTGGCAGCAGATGTTAGCTCAGGGCTAATCTTCCTCAAAAAAAAAAAAGAAAGAAAGGAAACAGAGGACTTAAACCCAATGCTCTAATAACAAATCCTGTTTTCTTAAAAACATAGTCATCCTCTAAATCCCTTCTTTAGGTGATGCTGAGGAAGTGGGGAGGAAATTAGTAATCTAAATGATAAACAAAGTAATTGTAATTTCATTTATATTTTTCCAGTGAAAGAGCATATGTACATTTTTTTCTTCAAACTTTCTCTCTTGAGGTTAGAATGAGTAACTTCTCTATTCTTCTTTCACAAATCAAAAATAATATTTTTTAAAGCCCTAGTTTTTTCAGATTTGTAACCCTTCAAACCAGAAACACAGCTATAATATTTAGCGGTAGAATTTTTAGGCATCATGCATTGTGTGCAAGAAAGGGATGAGGGTAGAGAAATATTCTGATTGCCCGAGAAATTACATGTACCCTAACTAAATTAAAGTCAGGATCTTTATTGGAAATACCTCTCTTGGAAATGCTAAGGGTATAGATCATAACAGCCTTACAAGATAATGATATGAAGTATTTTATTTTTTAGACTTCAGTTTCTCTCTCTGTATAAAAAGTAGGAAATATAAATTTCCAGTGAGGTTGATTATTATCCTACTATCATTCTTAGGCATGACTTTTGCTTGGTCTCATTCATATATTCATTCTTTCACTTATTTATTTAAACAATAGTGTTTGTATTACTATGCTAGATTTGGGGATATAAAGGGAAAAAAAGAACATACAATGTGGTGTGAGAGGTATAGTCTAGTGATAAAAAGTACCACTCCCTCAGTTAATATTAAAATTCATAATATATAAGGTTAATTCTCCCATGTCTTTATTTCAGTTCTTAGACAAAGCATTGTTGGGTCTGTGTTGATTGCTTATCACCCACTGCATTGAAAGAATATTTACTCACTTATGACAGACTTTTGGGACCCCTCTCCCTGGTCTAACAGGCAAATCTAGCAAGCCAACTGCATAGGCTTTAGGTCAATAGAGTAAAATCCACGCTGTGCTATGAAGCAGCCGTGCAGGCCATCTCAGCCTGTGTCAAATGACCTTGCAACCCTACACCTCATGACTGGAGACACCAGCTGGACAGATCCATAGCAATAAGAGATAAAGGGGTACCTCGCTCTCATATTTCCCAGCTGCATTTCTTAGAGATTGAGGGAATAATTAACAACACTGGTCCTTGCCTCCCTCCACACAAAGACATCATCGGCGTCTCTGAACTTGTTTGATGTATAACCGAGAAATTGTTGTTTATGTTACCTTCAGTGTATGATCTAGCTCAGATGTACTCTAGCCCCTTTTATTTGATAAACATGAAGTCTAGTTGTAAGTTTGTTTCTTTCCCTCTTCCCCGCACGTGCACTGTTTTGTGAAAGAGATATAAGCTGCACTTTAACCCAACACCCTGCGGAGCAGTTCCTCCGAATACTCTTTTGAACTGTTTTCCCAGGGTTTGAACTCCTCATGCTGATTATTGAATAAACTCCTTCACTAATATCACCTAGACTCCTTTTTTTTAATTTTTTTCCTTTTTCTCCCCAAAGCCCCCCAGTACATAGTTGTATATTCTTTGCTGTGGGTCCTTCTAGTTGTGGTATGTGGGACGCTGCCTGAGCGTGGTTTGATGAGCAGTGCCATGTCCACGCCCAGGATTTGAACCAACGAAACACTGGGCCGCCTGCAGCAGAGCACATGTACTTAACCACTCGGACATGGGGCCAGCCCCCACCTAGACTCTTTATTTCAGTCAACACGCTAAAACTAAAGTATGCCAAATATGGATGCATTTTATACATACGTTCATTTAGACGCTGGTGACTAAAGGGATTTTGTAAACACTTAAATATTCCATTGCTATTCGCTACAGTTTTTACTAGCATGATGCTTTTTAAAAATTTTTTAAGGGTTAGAAATACTTGATTTCGGAAAAATATTAAATTTAGCTCATGCTCTAACTGTGTTAAGAAGTCCTAGTTACATATAGAAGCTGTGATGGTAAGGCAATAATACTGATTTCACAATAACAAATGAAAACCTCAAACACTTCAAAGCGTAGTGCATTAAAGACTAACTTGCAATTCAGTTAAATCTGACAAAAATATATTGCATGCATTATGCTGGAGGGTGGTGGAGGGGGATAGCAGATAGGGACAGTAAGCTTACCAGCTTGTGACTTTCCTGCCTTTAAAGACGGGACACACTTGTCCAGCTCAGAATAATACACTATAGGAAGCAAAACACAAGAATAATACACTGTGAGAAGTGCGACTGCACACAGAGGTGGGAGCAATTAGTCCATCCAGTTAGAGGTTAAGTGGAGGAAGCATCACAGAAATGGTGATATTTGCTTTGAGCCTGAAGAAGCAAAAAGGATTTAACCAGGCACAGCAGTGGGGAAAGAGAAAATGTTCCACCAGAAAAATCAGAAGCTATGAGGTTTCCTTAGAAATCCTTTCTTACAACTGCCTGCCTCCTGGTAGATTAATATCTCATTACTCAAAATTATGTTTTTAAACACCTCTGGAGATTTGACAACTTGCTTTCAGGTGTAATCAATCAAACAGAAAAACTCTTCTCTCTCTTAAGACTAAACCAAAATCTCCCATTGATTCAGTTTAATCTTGTTAGTACAAATGTTCAATCTTGTATGCTTTCAGATGCTAAACAAGTAATTATCATTTTCTTTCTAAATGCAAGCCCCTCATAAACTTGAGGATAGTAACTTGAGGTGCTGCAAAGCTATAATTGATCCAAAGCGTGCATATATACTTTCCTCAGAGTAGAATACCCAGCCCCAGTCGGATCCTGGCGCTCCAGTGCACAATTCAGGGTAGGGAAGGGGGCAGTAAATACATCATGAAGGACCTTGATTCTTAAGGTATAGCTTTGAGCTTTATCTTGACCTGAGGGCTTGGGAAGCCATTGAAATAGTCTAATGGAAGGTGGGTAACATAATCAGATCTACACTTTTAAAGAGATTATTCTGATGGTGTATGCCTGCGGTAGTGGGTGGAGCAAGATGAAAGTCAGGATGTCAGGCTGGAAGTGATGATCTGGGTGAGAAGAGCTGACACCCTGAATAAGATTGCAGCAGAAGAGGTGGAAATTACTGGACAGATTTTAGAGGTGTATGATACACAGGATTGCTGGGCTATTACAATTTGGGGAAAGGGAGGAGTGGAAGATGACTCTGTTTCTGGAGTCAGAGGCAATTGGTAGATGGCACCACTCGCTTAAAAAATACAGCAGAAGAAGGTCTGTGTAAGATAGTATTGAGTTCAGTTTGGGGCTTATTGATGTTCGAGAACCCACGAGACTTCCAAAGGGAGAATCTGGTAGGCAGTTCAGTGTATGGGTGTGGATCTCAGGAGAGAGAACTTAGCTGGTCATGTAAATTTGATTATTTAAAACATTAACAGGAAGAAAAGTCAGGAAAACAGAGAGAGGGTTGAACACAGAACTAACAATATTTAAACAGTAGACAGAAGAAGAGGAAGCCACATAAAAGTCCTGGCCTGCAGCGTTGTGTCCTCATTTTTCTCTTTATATATCTGCTAATATATTCCCATATCATAATTATTTTTTAAAAGGTATGCAACATTAGTCACTCATTTAGAAAACAACTACCAGTTATTTTATTTTGTGTTGTTTTGAACTATGTCTGGAGAGTCCTTATTTTAGAGCGTTATTGTTGAAAATTGAATTATATACTGTACTTTTGCTTTTCTCGTATTGAACCTGATCCTACCTTGCTGATTACTTTTTGTAAGGTCTTGAAGTAATTTAAAATTCTCATTCTATCCGCTAGGGAAAGAGAGATTTTGTATCTTTTATTCACTGCTGTATCCCCAGTGCCTAGAACAATGCCTGGCACATAGTAGGTGCTTAGCAAATATTTTGAACGCGTGAATATTATGAAGCATTGGTAAATTCACTCTATATTTTCTTCAAATTTAATGACAGCTGTCATTTATACAGATTATTGATAAACATATTTAGAGAAATTATAGTTTCAGCGAATAAAAAGGAAAAAAAGAGGGAGAATAACAAGAAAAGTAGGGGACA